CCAGATCGCGCCGCTTTTCTGCAGGGCGTCCCGCCCAAGAACCCTTTTGTGATCTGGGATCTGTCCTGGCCGAGGCGAAAAAGGTGGAAGAAGTGAAAACAGCCTCCAAACGCTCCTAAATCGGTTTCTTCCTAGTTACTCTCTAAGTCCCCGCTTCTCATTACTTACTTATTATCAAATCTAGGGTATAAGGTGTCAATGGGTGCACTAGCAGTCGTGGCACTGGAGGGGAGGCTGGCCGTTTTAGGGCTTTTGGGGGTGGTGAACTGACAGATTGGGGACAGAAGGGGGCAACATTTAGTAGTTGTCCCCTGGGGGGCACTAGGGACAAAGGAAAGCCGCGTGATTCTTCCCAGCAGGCGGGACTGTGCAGGCCTCCTGGAGGGAGGGCCTGCCCCAGGGGAAGGGAGGGGAGCGGAGCACCTACTGTGTGCCGGCACTGTTCTGTCGTGAACAAAAGCAGACAGAACCCCCCCTCGTAGGGTACTGCATCTCAGTGGGCGGATGGCAACAATCCACGCGCAAAGACGCACGGAGAGACGTTAGGGGTGCTTTGGAGAAAAGCAAAGGCGGAGCAGGGTCAGCTGATAGGACCGCGGAGGCAGCCGCAGATCTGATAGCCTCGGAGGCGCTTCCCTGGAGTTGAGGGTCAACAGAGGCCCCAGGCAGCAGAGGGCCACGGTTCTGCACCTGAAAACAGCGCGGCGTGACCGGAGGACGCTGGGCCGGCAGGTGGAGGGCAGGGCAAAGGGCAGCCTGGGGTTGGGGAGATGGGAGTGGAAGGGGTCCTGAAGGGATGGGGCTTGGGCCCTGGCAGCCTGCCTACGGGCAGTAGCGACTGGGGCAAACTCCCAGGTTCCTGGCTCCAGGAACTAGTTGGATGCGGGAGTCCGCAAACACCTGCAAACACCCGTGGACAGCCCACAGCGGCCCCACAGAGGCCAGGGGAAGGAGTCCTGTGTCCCGGCCTCTCCTCCTGGTTGTCGGTCTGTGTCAGTTTTCCAGGAACATGGCTGGGCCATCTCATCTGCGCATGCCCAGAGCTGGGGCACAAAAAGTTGGAGACCAAGTTTCTCTCACAGGGGTTTTCTTTCATTCAAGAAATTTGGATGGAACACCCTCTGTTCTAAGGGACACAGTGATAAATAAGACACAGATTCCTGTCTGCATGGGGTCTGAATCTAATAGGTGAGTGGGCAGCCTTTGATCCCACATAGGCCCTGTTGTAAGAGGGGGATGGAGTCTGGGGGGAGGGAGGGTGGTCCAGGATGTTTCCTGGAGAATGAGATGAGGTGAGAGCTGAAGGATGACGGAGAGGAGGCAACTCAGGGAGGATTCAGAGCAGAGGGGCAGTGACTATGATATGAGATCAGGGACCACGCTGGGCAAGTGCAAACCGAGTCAGGGGAGTGACAAGGAGGAAAGACTGGAAAACTGCAGAGAACAGGTCAGCGGCTGGGGTGCAAGAGGGCCCTTAGGGGTGACAGAAACACTCGATTGCAGTGGCAGTAACACTTTAAATGTCAACATTCACATAACTGCACACCAAAAAGGGTGAATGTCACTGTAAGTTACACCCAATAAGCCTTACTTTAAAATAAATGCCTTCATAAGAATAAAGACTTATATATATTTTCACTTATTTTTTATTTATTGATTTTAGAGAGGGAGAGAAACATCAATTTGTTGTTCCACCTTCATTGGTTGCCTCTTGTATGTGCCCGGACCAGGGATTGAACCCGCAACCCTGGCATGTCGGGACAACGCTCTAACCAACTGAGCAACCTGGCCAGGGACTGTACTTTTAAATACAAAGGTCGGCAGCAGCCAGAGCACACATCACACATGGTAAGGGTTTTGGTCTTTGAAGCGGCCACTGCTGGCTGCAGAGAATGGGCTTGGAGTATTTGTGTGGGGCCCTCAGGGGGCATCTCTAACAGGCTGGTTCCCCTTCCTCCATGTCAACAGCACAGAAGGTGACAGCTGCAGCCTCCCAAAGGGCCTGCAAGTTAGAGGACTCAGAATTCCTCCAGGAGGGAAAGGACGACAAGGGACCCCCAGTGGGAGGGGTCTGTCTCCTGTGGAGTGGCAGGGTGTCTTGCCTTTAGGATCGACCTTGAAAGGGGTATAGGGCAGCCTTTCCAGAGCTGGGATGGGGCCCGAGGGAGTGGGTGGGGGAAGGGGAAGGCCTGCTCACCCACTGAGGACAGCAACTGCAAAAACTCCCTTGGGGCCAGCAGCGCGGTGATGGGCACAGTGGGATACCCAAACCTGCTTGGCCAGTCTGCACCCAGCTAGACAGTATTCTGGCTGCATCCCTGGAGGCCAGCGGCTCAGAAAGGTGAGCCAATGAAGCAGAAGCTGAACACACAGGCCTCCTGGGGAGATGAAGTGAGACAGGCCCATGGCCTGCCCGGCACAGCCAGAACAAGCCCTCCCAAACCGAGAGCTGACGTCAGCAGGGCGGTGGCTGGCACCAACCACTGGAAGGCCTAACACATGCCTGTGCCTCAAACCAGCTTCATCTCGGGATCAGCTGGGCCCCATGACTGCAAGGCACAAGCCAGAGCTGAGAACTTTGCACGAAAGGCTGCCTTCTGTGGCCATGGAGGGCTTGTCTCCTAGGAGCCGGGGCTAGTCTCTGGACAATGTGCCAGACACAGGGAGCCAGAGCGGCACACCCTTCCTCGTGGGCACCGATGTTAAAAGAATGGGGAGGACTGAAGCCACTGAAAGTGGCCTGGGGCTACGGGTCACTGAGCACTCGGAATAGAAGCCATGTCCTTCAGGACCCAATTCAAACACCCTGAAAACTTACAGAAAAATCAAGCCTCAGGCTCTTAGCTACTTGTAAACCATTTCCAGACTGGCCTGGTCAAGGGTTTATCTGTTGGAGCATGTCTCCATCTTGTGGTCAATGCTGACACGACCACCACCTCCATCTCCCAAATTTACAAGAGCACTTCTAAATCCTCACCAGTACCTAATTTAACCCTTACAACAAAACAAAGTTCTAGTATGGGCATTTGCCATACAATTTGGAAAGTGAGGCAATATTGGGACACGTCCCTGCCAAGGGTCTAGGAGCCCCAGCCTGTGCTGGCCTGTCACCTCACCGGGGAGTAGCCTTGCTCCAAGCTGTGAGCACTCTTCAGGACGCTCAGTTGACAAGCAGGTGGGCAAGGGGCAGAACCAGGATTTAATCCCAGTCAGGCCTGGCTGGACCTAAATAGCCATTCATGCTGGGATTTGGCCCATCCACACACCCACCAGCCCCATGAACTCCATCTCTGCCCCACTGCCTGGAGGCCTGGCTCCTCTTTGCTGGGCTAACACACACTCAAGTTCTCAGCTTTAAGGTTCCCTGAGCCCGGCTCCAAATTGCCCTCGCACCTGCGTTCACCTTCTGCAGCGCCCTGCTCCTGAGGTCCCCGTGAGCAGCCCTTGGGGGACAGTTTCTCAGTATGACACGCCCCTCCTGCCCCGGGGGCTGTGGTGGGCGGAGGACATGGACATGAAAGTGGGGCTACATTCCAAGGACCAAGGCTTCGCTTGCAACCATTTCCAAGGCTAATCAACTCCTTTCCACCAGCCTTTTCATTATCAGGGAGCTCCTTTTATCTAAAGGAGTGATGCTGGCTCATTTCCACAAACACCCGGCTCTTCTGCCTACTGCCATCTACTGATGTTCAAACTTAGGCTCAAACAAAACAGCTTTCTCTGTCCATTGGGACCACAGCCCAAGATCAGGGATGCAAGGAAGCTGCCACCAGGACCCCCAGCCCATCCCCACCAGAGTCTAGCAACCCATGACATTTCCCTTCTGGCCTTCAAAGACAAGACACACGAGAAGATTTTTAACGTTTTAATACAGATCAGCATGTCGGGTTCACTTCAGCTCCTTCACCGCCAAACCTAGAGCAAGAGAGGCAAACGCGAGGCATCAGAAGACAGAGTCACGCTGCTTGTCTGGGTTTGTTCTTGAGCTAAGAAGGCTCACAAAGCTCAGACATTAAGTCCACCAGGAGGTTCTGCATAAAATATTTAGTGTTTGATAAAAAGAAAAAAAAAACACACAAAAAAACTCCTGTCAGCCTTTATAAAGGGGCCCAGCGTGCTCCCACAAGGCCGAGCTCTCACACGCGAGCAGTACCGGCTAACTTTCACGGTGGACAGGCAGCCTCTGGAGCTGCTTGGTGCTCCCTGGGGGGCTTCCTCCACCCCAGGGTGGCCCTTTGTCTAACACACGCTCAGGGCCTATGGTACTTAATCAGTTTCCTCAAAACCAGCATCTGCCTGGTGGGATGAAATGAGGCAGAGTAAGTGTGAGCTGTTACTATTCTGCACTAGAAAAGCATGAAAGAGGGAAACAAATTCGCCTTGGCCACCGCGTTGTAGATCACCACGCTCGCATGACAGTGGCAAGAGCAGAGGCTTAGACCACAAAATGGACCTGCCTCTCCTTGGGCACTACTCATGAATAGGACGGCGACACGTGCACCGCCCAGCCTGCGCGCCTGCCCAGCAATCCCGCTCACTCACCCGGGGGCAGGGACTGCTTCAGCTTCTCGGCCTTCTCTTTGTCCGTGATGACCAAGGTATACAGGTATCTGCTGCACCGGACTTTGAACTTCACATTATCCTTATTTTTCTTGATCTTGACAGCTACCAAACAGACCAAAATCAGTAATTTAATTGCACCAGACATCACATGGTTCACCTGCTTCATACAAACGCAGAAAGTGGCACTTGTGACCACAACCACGGCCACAGCTGTGCTTGTCCCGTCGAAACAGAAAACAAGCTGCCCTCTATGACCCCAATCTTCAAAAACCGCCGGAAACCCGCTTTTCCCGTTTATTAATTCTCAAGCACCTGGGGCTTGACCTTCACGGCTTGTCTATGTATCTGTACGCTGAACACACCCTAGAACACTGTCCCCGT